CAATACATACACTGGTTCTATTCCTCTGCAGAACCCTGAGACACTAGATAAACATCAAAGAGTGGATTAGCTCCAGGATGTGTAAGCCTGCCACACAGTAAGAATATAATGACAATTCCCTTAATTACATAAGGAAATGGGCCACAAGACAACTGCCTGTAACAATGATTCTATACCTGTCATAGGGATGCCAGACTGAAGCACCATTTAGTTCCAATTTTATAATCTTGTGTTCTCCAGTAATCACTGATCTTAAAGCTCAACTGTGGTATTAAGTCCCTTACCGTACTGCATTATAGAACAAATTTTTATTTATTTAGTTTGTTAGTTAGTTTTTGAGAATAAAACCAAAAATACCAAACCCACTGCTGTCGAGCTGGATCCGACTCATAGCGACCCCTCCTTGGGTTTCCGAGGCAGTATCACTACGGAATTAGATTGCCCAACCTTCCTTCTGAGGAGTGGCTGGTGGGTTTGAACCACTAGCCTTCTGGTTAGCAGTAAAATGCCTTAGGCACTAGGCCAACACATAGCAAAACATATACCCAGTCAACAGTTTCCACATGTGCCATGCAGTGACACCGATTATTTTCTTCAAGTTGTGAAACCATTCTCACTTTCTTTGTTGCACTGAATCACTTAATATGACCTTTCCGGCCATGGTCTTATAACTCCCACCAAAAGATTGTGTGGGACTCTGCAAATAAGGTGCTTGTGGCCCACTAAGGGGATTGGACAGTTTATTAGTAATATAAATAAGATGTGAGGTATAATTGTGCAGGTAGGACCCTGCAAATGAGGTGCATGAAACTTTAAAAAGGGGATTGGTCAGTTTACCATCCCGTGAGGCTTCAAGCATGAGGCATCCCAGAAGTGGGAAGGAGGGAGCTCACTACCACTAAGAATAAGAAAGGGGCAGCAGAGTGTGTCCTTTGGACCCAGGGTCCCTAAACTGAGAACCTCCTAAACCCAGAAGACACAGAGAAAAGCTGTAACATAGACAGTGCAAGACGGCAAGACGCAGCCGCAGAAAAATGGTAGCAGCCAAACAGGAGCCCAGCGAGACGGGGCGGTGGGCCTGCTGGCCACAAAGTGAGGTGGCTGTGGTGGGTGTGTTGAGCCTCAGAGCAAGAGAGCTGAGCGCCTTCGGGCAGGAGGCTGCCTGGCAGAGTGGGGTGACTCTGGGCACTTGACAGAGCTAGGTGCACTGACCCACAGAGTGAGAGAGCTGAGCCAAAGCTCACTGATGGAGTGGGGTGCCCCTGGGCACTGACTGGTGGAGTTAAATATCTTTGTAACACTTGCCTGAGCAGAGCAGAGGTTGGGCCAAGGGGCTGAGAGCCCAAGGGCCAGAGAGAGGCCTGTCTATGGGCCTGGCTGAGAAGCTGTCCTGAATGAAGAACTGTGTCCTGCGTCATTCTTGATCCTGAATTGTAACCTGCTCCCAAACCTAACCCAAACCTATTGCCATTGAGTCAATTCCCATGTATAGCAAGTCCACAGAACAGAGCAGAAGTGCTGCATAGGATTTTCCTGGCTGTAATCTTTAGGGAAGCACACTGCCACACCATTTTCACAGAGTGGCTGGTGGGTTCAAGCCACAGACCTTGTTAGCAGCCCAGAGCTTAACCACTGTGCCACTAGGGCTCCTATAACCTGTTACTTCCCTAATAACTGTGAGTATGGTCTGTGAGTTTTGTATGGCTCCTGTAATGAATTACTGAACCCAGCAGAGAAGTAGGGAGTGCTGTGGGAAGATGGCTGGTGTTGGAACTGGTGAATGGTTGGAAGATGGAGACATGTCTGATCTCTGCCTCACAGCAATCAGCCCTGGGCTGACACCAGTGGTCCCTCTTTCCCTTGTGAAATCAGACATCCCCACATCATCATTCTTTATGTCCTCCTTTTCTGAGTTGTCCATCCCCTGTTCACATAAACTCACTGCCCCTAAGATTTCTATCTAGTCTTTCGAGTTGCTATTGTCATGTTGATCCCACAGAGATCTTAGAAAAGCCCAATGCTCAAGGCAGACATTCTTTAGGGATTAAGCTGAACTACTGATTGATTGTAAGAAGCAGAAATACAATTGCTTTCCCTAAAATTAATTTCCCTGACCAACAAGGTTAGGTTCCAAAGATAAGGTTGTTATGCAACAATGGAGGATGACCACATTGGGTCACAAAATGGAGAATGACTGTGTCATTATGTAACTGTCAAATTCCATCCAACCCACAGAGAGTTATGGCCCACTCAAGCTGACACACAACCTTAACTATGACAGCCAGCATTACCCTCACCTTGCACCAGGCATACATCGTTAATGCACAAAATAGATTTTTTTACTATTATCATAAATGTGAAACATCAGATAATAAGATAGTCAGTAAGTGAGGAGTAGGTATAAGTGTGAAATCAAATCAAAGAAGCCCTCATGGGTTAAGTGCTACAGGGAAACGCTGGGAAGGCAGTGCCATCCATTCAGTAAGTTCCGTCAGTGCCTGAGGTCTCCTATGTCTCTGCCTGCTTGTCACTCACCCAGTAAGCTGCTGTCATCAGCTGACTGGAGACGGTCATGTATAATAGATCTGTCTTGGTGTGGTCGAGACCATGTCTGTGGTTAGCATCAGACTCATGCCAGAGACATGCATGGCACTGCAGCACAGCAGATGCCCTAAGGGCCCGACGCATGGCAGAACTGATACACCCGGATCTGTGCCAGCCAGGGGCTGAGAAGCCTGGGAGTCATAGCATCAGCCAGGTGCCTTGCCCTCTCAGAGGCTCGGGGGCAAGGTCAGACCCAAATGGAACAAACATGCCCACATAAGGAACGTCAGGGACTCTCTGAGTGATGGCAGATGGTATGGTATGGGTTGAACTGTGTCCCCTCCTCAAGAAGGTGTGTTGAAGTCTGCACTCCCAGCAATTGTGAAGGTGACCTTGTTGGGCATCAGGGTCTTTGAAGATGTTATCCATTAACATAAGGTCCTGCTTGAGTAGGGTGGGTCCTAACGGTATCTGAGAGGTGTCTGATAAAAGAGAAGAGACCCAGAGACAGACACAGAGGGAAGCTGGTCATGGGAAGCCAGAGGCAGAGACTGGAGTGATGTATATACAAGCCAAGGAACACCAAGGCCAGGAGAAGCTGCGAGAGGTAAGGAAATCTCTTCCCCTAGAGCCTTCAGAGAGTGTGGCCTTGGTGACACCTTGATCTCAGACGTCTTGCCTTCAGAACTGAAAGAGAATACATTGCTGTGGTGAATAAACGTTGGCCTCTAGCTTCACAGAGCTTACACCTAATTGGGGATATGCCAAACAAGTAGACATGCAGATCAAATTGTAAATGGTCGAAAGTGTTATAAAGAAAAAGAGGACGTTTAGGCGGTTGGAGAAGAGGCAGTGTGAGCTGAGACAGAAGGAACCAGCCCAAGCAGGATGAAACAGGATGGGGTTGGTGCATTTGATGGACCTCAGGAGCAGTGTGACCGGAAGAGGAAAGCCAGAGTGGGAGCCTGGGGATGATACGTGCTCAGAGAGGCCAGAGCCATTAGGCCGTGCCAGCAGCAGGAGACAAGAGCAATGACCACTCACAAGGCAGCCACCAGCCCCCTCACAAGGGCATGCGTTTCCTCAGTCCCTAATGACCTCTGATCCTTGGGCTTCCTGGGGTCCCTGTCTTGGGCTCTGCACACCCCATGCCACCTGCTCTCTTTCTCTAGAATACAATCAAGCCCTGAAGCCACGTGGGAAAGGAATGGCTGACTGCTCTGCTCCATTCCTTTAGCCATTTGCTGAGAAGTAAGATGCCACACTGAGCTAATGACCATGGAGTTTGGCTGTAATTGTCAAAGTTCCTCATTTCTACAAGGAAATCTGTTTCATTCTTTGGCAGGCCTGGGATCGCCCACAGAGCATTTCTGATCCTTGCATCCAGGGCCTTTAACTGGCCGTGGGATCTCATGTGGCGCTGGGGTTTCTGTTTCACAAGTCAAAGGCAACAGGGAACAGACAAAACACACATGGTCCCTCACATCAAATGTTAGGCAGTCCCGGAACCTGTGACCACAGGACTCTACTCATAGCCACCATTTCCCATAGGGTCTGGTTCATGTCCCCAGCCACAGGAAGGGACGCTCACCTCTCCAGCCTGGGTTAGGTGCTGCCATGCAGTCTGTTGGCTCACTCCATGCAAAGTGAACTACAAAGCAGGCCCTGAAATAATCCTAACGCAGCCACCGACAGTTCCAAAGTCACTTGGGTGACAGTTTCTAAGAACATGTGGAACCAAAAAAAAAAACCAAACTCGCTGCTATCATGTTGATTCCAACTCATAGCAACCCTCTCCAGGTTTCTGATGTGGTAAATCTTTACGGAAGTAGATTGCCCAGTCTTCCTTCTGTGGAGTGGCTGGTGGGTTTGAATCATCAACCTTCTGGTAAGCCGTCAAATGCCTTAGGCACTACACCACCAGAGCTCCTTTTTTAGTTACTGTCTGCACGCACCCCAAGACCGAGAGTGATGAGATTTACAACTGCTGATGAAAATGGTGACCGGTTTCTTTCAGCTGACATCAAATGAATGTTTAATAATTTGGCATGAAGCTGTTAATTCAGAAGCAGCAGTGGAGCCACACCTGTCCTACTGTTGAGTTAGTTTTCCTGTGACACAGAAAAACGAAAGCCTTCCAAGGAGTATGTGCCCAGAAACACCTCCAACTGGGAGCCGTGGCTTGGTGCTCCCTCGTAGGGACCCTACACATTCCCTTTTCAGTCCTTGCTTTCAGCCAGTGCACCTAGGAAAGGACTGCTGATTCCTTTTCTTACCAGTTCTACTCTTAAATGCAAGCTGGAGGAGCATGCATAAAACATCCCAACACACAATCTGTAACAAACTTCTAGTCCCACAAAAGTCAGGTATTATTAACCAAGTGGGTGTGCAACACTGGAGGTCGGTGCACAGAGAGAGAAAAACAGGAGAAATGGCATCATTGCTGCCTGCCTCACCTTGCCTCTGTCGAAGTAGTGGATGATCTCCTGGTATAGCTGCTCCTTCAACTGTCCCTGTGTGGTCGCCTGGTAGCCGTCCCGCTGGGTGAGGTGGGCAGCACACACATCCTCCGACCACTGAGGAAAAGTGAAGCGTGAGTGGTACTGTGGGGAGGGATGTCCAGTGACGGGTTTGCTGGCCCTGAGGTTCAGACTGCAGCGTGCACTCCTCAGCGAGTGCACACATGCTCACAGGGGGTACATGTGTGCGAGCCATGGTCCTGGGCACATAGGGCTACTGTCATCAGGCTGATGGGGCCAGGAGATGCAAGGGCCGACCTCTGTCTGAAGGGCCCAAGAGGAGCCACAGACAAGAGGGCGGCGAGCCTGGTGCTGATTCCTACAGAGGGAGACCCGACAGACCTTGACTAGCACAGTCAGCCAGCTGTCTGGGAGCGCCCCACTGAATTCGGGCACAGATTATGAACTGGGTGATTTGTGATAGTCTTGGTTCTGTGTTGCTTAATGTTTTGACGAACAGCAGAAAAGATACACAGATCACATTTATTCTACAAAGGAACTGACAGGGTTTCAAGCTTCTCAAAAACAGGGAGATGGCTTTGTACCTGCAGCCCAAGTCTGGTGCCTGGCACAGAGTTGCAGCCAAGTAAGGGCAAGGGGATGCATTGGTAGAGTTGTTGCCTGAACCAAAGATGGAGAAAGGTCTCCAGAAGCTGGGCAGAAATGCCAAAGTGAAGGCAAGCTCATGTAACAGACAAAATATCCCAAGTCCTGCATTAGACTCAACAAATCAGCGGCTTTAAGTATAGAGTTCAACACAAGTCAACAACTCTTTGGTGAGGACCTACTATGTGTCAGACACTAGGCTAAAATAAGCCAAAGACCTCTCTCCAGAGAGAGTGCTGCTGTAGCCTGGAGGTATATGATAGGCAAACTACTACAAAGCAGACTTCATGGTACATAGGGGTGGGGGCGTGATTTCAGATGGGGAGGCCTAGCGAGGTTTGCTGGAAGAAACCATGGGAATGAGTTCGCTTATCAGATGGACTTAGGAGAAAGAGGCGGACCTGACTTAGACAGGACAGTGAGGGTGTCAGAGAAAGCATGTCAGGCCCTGGACCGTAGGAGGGTCTCCAGCCAAGGGTGGGGGCGGTGAAGAGGGATACCCCACTGGCCTAGGAGCTGGTCAGGCCACATCCGGACCAGCTGTGGTGCACATTTTGGGGAGGGCCTGACAAATGGGAGGAGAACGAGCTTGCTTATCAGACGGACTCAGGGAGTACAAAGCCTGGACCAACGGGGCACAGAAGACAGGGAGGCACGCTGAGTGCACAGCCAGAGGGAGGGGAAACTCAGAGAGGCCTCTGTAATAGTCTTGCTGTCTCCGCACACCCTCCCCATCTGCTCCAGCCCAGAAGGGCCTGGGACCACTCTCACTGACCCCTGGGGCTCCAAGGAACAGGGTGCATAGCACAGGGCCAGAATGGCTTCCTACTTCCCGGAAGGCTGGGGAGAAGTACAAGACCTTTCATCAGCCCGTAAGGTCTTTTGCCTTCAAATTGGCCTGGCCTGTGCCCACACCTGGAAGGGACAATTGTGGAGTTTTCACAACACAGCTAGGTTACTACTTTTATTGGGGAGGAACCCAAATAAAATTTTAGATGATTCTGAAATGTTAACTAGAATAAAATAATCTGAACAAGAAAGTTCAGTCCTCAAATGGCCTTCTTGGAGTTTATACTCACCACCCTTGTTTCTTTTAGCTATCAAAGGGGAGCACAACTCCCCAGAATCCCACTGCAGCACTGAGATTCCATTCACTGGTAGCTGGGCTGAAGACAAGGCTCTTAAGGCTCTTATTGCTTCAAAAATTCTCTTCCCCAGAAAAGATTCTACTGGCGTTCTGGTAGCATAGTGCCTAAGGCACTTGACTGCTAACCAGAAGGCTGGTGGTTCAAACCCACCAGCCACTCCTTAGAAGGAAGGTTGAGCAATCTACTTCCGTAGTGACACTGCCTATGAAACCCAAAGAGGGGTCACTATGAGTTGGGTCCAACTCAATGGCACATAACAACAACAACAACGACAACACTGGATTCTTAAGCTAAAGAACTAGATTTGTCAAATTGAAGAAAGAATCTTTCCAGTAATACAAATCATATTCTTTAGTTAGTTGATTAAGAAGCGTGAATTCACATTTATAGCCATATCCAAACACATTTAGGAAAAATTGTGAAATGAGATGATGTAAAAGATATGGGGAGACTCTGTAGCCTTTTCCACCTAACTGGGAAGTGTAGAGCCCCAGCGGAAATGATCATGCAACTGGGCCTATGGATCTGGCTGTGAAACAAACCATCACGCGGTTTGTGACAAGCCCATCAGCACCCCATCAATCCAATGATTAAACAAATGATATGTTTACACACATATGCATGTTTCGCAGATGCAGGCTCACATAAAAGTTTATGTTCTATGAGAGACAGCCTAAGAGTGAGCAAGCACTTTGTCAACTCCATTTTAATTTCCCTGATGTAAAATAATTAGCTCCACATTTGCAAAAATACCTGTTACTGAAATTGGGGTGTCTAGCAAATGCAGGCCATCAGAATTCACAGCATGAAGGCTGGTGCCAGATGCCCCATCAGAAATCCTTGTCTCTGTAAATTATATGCCTTTGGAGAACTTTATAGTTCACAGGCCAAAGGGGTTCTCCCGCAGCCAGCCTCCGAAGGACTACTGACAAGGCATCCAGCGTTCACGGACCCACCCCGTGCTTCCTGGGTAATGGGCTCCTCTGTGTTCAGGCCGAGGTACATGTCCCTGGTGCAGCCTTGCTACACCTGTGTCATAGACGCGATGGGAAGTTTCAGAATCAGGCCAAAGCCCGAGATACTCTCACCAGAGTTTCATTGCCTCATATGACACACTCTTAACTTCTCTCATTTTGTGCTCTGGGTGCTGGTTTGGGTTTGGAAACATGAGTCCCAGAATGAACAACTAAATGTGATTCTCATGACTGTTTAGTTTATTCAGTTCAAGATTCTTCAGATTATTTTTAAGGCTATCATGAGAGAGATAATCTAATGACTTGCTGAAGTTTTAAAATTTAAAAGTAGAAGTTGGGTATCAATTCCTCCATCTACCCATCCATCTGTCCATTCACCCACCCACCCACATATTCATTCATCCATCTGTCTGCCAGTCCATCTGTCCACCCACCAATCCACATATCCATCCATTCATCCATCCAGTCACCCACCCGCCCACATCCAGTGAGTTACCGAGAGGCCACTATGGATGACTTCTGCTGGCACTAGACATGGAGGAGGGGGTGAATATCAATGACAACCTAAAGCCAATGGCTAAAGCCATCTGCTTAGCCAAAGGCCTCTGGAGCTGAGTGGTCATACCAGACCTGTGCTCAGGAGCAACTCTGTCCAGAAGGATGAGGCCGAGAACACCAGCAGGAGGTCTCCATGGGAACCGAGGGAGTCGGGATCTGGTTTCTACACTCTGGGCTAGGAAAATCAGAGGTATACCTCCTCCTATCGCTTAGTCGCTCCACCACCAAAATTCCCTGTTACTGCTGTTTCCCACCATTACTATGTCCAGTTGGCATGAAAACAGGAATTGCAATCTCTCTGACTGCCTACGAGCCAACAGCTCCATGGTTGGTGTTTATGATGCTTAGTGATAGCTGGTTGTGACATCTTGTTAAATCTGCATCCAGAAAGGCTGGCTCCATAGCCACAGTACTTCCTAAATGCTTCTGTTTATGTCAGTGCATTTAGTCAATGTCCACAAAATCTTCACTGGTAGGTTTGCTAAGATTTGTTATAAAAAGTGACAATATCAATAATCGCAGAACATAGAATGGCAGGGTCGTCAGAGTACACAGTGATCTTTGTTACCTTAAGAAGCTTTGCGTGGAGAAGCAAAGTATAAGCTGCTTCGGTGTAGTTGTCACACTCTTTGTGCAGGTCACACAGCTTGTACAAATACCTGGGACGATAAAATAGAGGCACGTGCCTAAAATGTCACAGAATAATTTGTGTCGAGGACGGCAAGAGCTAAGGTCCAGCCGTCATAGCAAATCACAGCTGCACTTCCCTTTGCACAGTGTGTGCATGATTCATGCTGCCTTGAAACGTGCCATGGAGAAAGCACTTGGAAAAGGCAACAGCAATAACACATGATAACTTACAAAATGTAGCCCCTTGCCTTTCAGAGAAAACAAAACAAAACACGAAGCTGATGCAAGGAGAATTTTCTTCCACATCTTCTCATTCCTTCTCATCATTTCCAGAGTTTTCCTCAAATACTTGAAATAAGACAGCACAATGTTTGATTATGATTTCCTACAATTCTATTGCATCTGACTGCAAAAAAAGTCCCTCTGTTCACTTAAAAATGGTTCAGATGGAAAATTTTATGTTATAGATACTTTAGCACAATAACATTTTTTAGAAATGCAACAGTATAAGCACCACATACACAAAAAAAAAAAATCCATAAAAATAAAAATCCACAAGAATAAAGAACTTCAATGATCACAGAGAATGTGATCAAAAGAATTTCTTTGCCATGAAGAAAGAAAACCACCTACATTTTGGATGAAAGAAGCCAACTGATTGCTTCGCTGGAGTTTCCTACATTGATATGGCTTTTTATTTTTTATTTTTTGTTAAGGTGAAAGTAAAAACTCTAAGAAATGAAAAAAAGTTAGAAATTACTTTAGATGTAGTAAGTGCATCATTAAATACTAAGGCCACATGATTGTATGCTTGTCCTAGTCTCGTAAGTGGTAATCTTGCTACACGTTTGACCCGTGATTCCAGGAATGGCCAAGAAAGAGAGGAGCTCAATTACAGCCCATCCTCCTAAAAAAGACAAGTGAAGGAGTCAAATCCAGCCAGAAATATAAAGATGCATCTTCTGATGTCAGAGAAAGACAGAAAACAGGCATACTATGCCAGGTCAAGTAACAGTAGACTAAAAACTTCTATGTTGCCTATTTGTAGTAACCATCACTTGACTGTCAGTATGTCAGATGCTAGAAGTTATGCCACTGGTATTTCAAATACCAGCAGGTCACCCATTGTGGGCAAGTCTCAGTGGAGCTTCCAGACTAAGACAGATGAGGAAGAAAGGCCTGGTGATAGACGTGGTTTTTTTGTTTGTTTGTTTGTTTTTAATTTTTATTGTGATTTGGGTGAAAGCTTACAGAGCTACTTCATTTTCCATATACCAGTTCATATATATTTTGTATCCTGTCATTGATTGCAATTTCCCATAGTGTAACAGATCTCTTCCCACTTCCTCCCTGCAGTTACCTCTTTCCTGTGTCCTTCTGGTGATCTGCTTTTGAAATTAGCCAATGAAAACCCTATGGATCACAACAGAAGATTGTGCAACTCACTTGCCTTGGGCACGTCATCAGGAGGATCAGTCACTGGAGGATGGCATCATGTTTGATGACGTAGAGAGACAGTGACGGTGAGGGAGGCCCTGGTGAGGTGGACTGGCACAACAGCCCCAAGAATGGGCTTGAACTTGCTGGTGACTGTGAGGAGGATGCAGGTCAAGGGAACATTTTGTGGTTCTGTAGGTAAGGTCACCATGAGTTGGACTTGACTTGATGGCACTATCTATTTGTTTATCAATTGCTGATAAGAGATTTAAAAACTAGATTTCTCATTTGATCATGTGGTTTCCTGTGAAACATTCAAATTTGCAGTGTTGGCTTTTCCTGAAAAAAGGGCCATATGGGTGGACCGAGGGGTACATAGACCCTGTGAAATAACCATGAAGGCTCATGCTTCTAGTTGGCTAAATCGATCCCCCCATGCAAGGGCTGCATCTATCCGGGCAAACAACACAAGGGCTGATCACAGCTCTGGAAGCACCACCAACTCATCTACCAGCATCAAGAGCTTCAGCAAAATAAAATCCCAAGGTTCCAAAATGTTACACACAGCGATTATAACAAACATGCAGACAGCGCCGACAAGCAAGGGGGCACACATACCTTATGTACATTTCTTCTCTCTCAATTTCTTTGTAGAAATTCTGAAAAATCAAAGGACAGCCCTGTTTTAGAAACAAGTTCCGCAAAGGGTAGTGAGTGCATGTTAAGAACACACGGTTCTTCAACTCAAGTCACACACATCAAAATGGACCCAGCTCTTTGGATCTGAATCACAAATTCACACGAAATGCAAAGCCTTTCTTTTTTTTTTTTAACTTAAACATGAATGACATTTATTATTGCACACGATAAAAAGTTGGTTGGCTTATTCAGCAGCATCAACAAAGACCTGGATACTTTCTACCTTTTTACTCTGCCTTTCTTTTTTTTTTTTTTTTTAATTAGGATTTGGGTGAAGATTTATAGAGTAAATTCACTTTTCATACAGCAGTTCACATATACTTTGTCTCATGTCATTGACCAAAATTTACAATGCAGCAGCTCCCCTCCCACTTCCTCCCCATAGTTACCTCCTCCCAGTGTCCATCCCTTCATACTCTTCTGCACCCTGAGCTATCTCCCTGTGGATAAGCAGCCCTTCCTTCTCCCATGATTGTTCTCTCCAGGGCATGTGTCTACTTGAGGTAAATGTTTAACTCACATGCCTGTACTTTGTTTGGCTGGAAACCACAGTTGTGGGTTCAATTCCAGACCTGAAGGGCAACTAGGGGCCATAGTCTCAGTGGTTACACCAGGCTCCATTGGACCAGCAAACCTGGTCCCCACCTTCTTTTCTTTTTTTTTGCCTCCAAACGATTTTGAGTTTTGTACCACATTGTTCTCCCTCTTTATGTAGGATCTCCTACATCCCTTCCAAGTGGATGGCAGTGGTAGCTGGGCACCATCTAGTTCTTCTGGTCTCATAGTTGTATAGGTTGCAGATCGGATGGTGTACCAGTCGCTAGGACTGATTGTTTCCATTAATTTTGGTTTTCTTCTTTCTTCTTGACGAGGAGAGACCTGTTGTTGCATCTAGATGGCAGCTTCCTAATTTTTAAGGTCCCAGTCGCTACTCGCCAAAGTAGTAGGTGGAACAATGTTTTGTATAGTATGTTATGCCAATTGAGCTTGATGTCCCCTGCGACTATGGTCCCAAGCCCACAGGATCAACTACTCGGTCCCTCTGGGTAGCTGGCTGTGACCAAGTAATGACCACAACCTTGCCCCTTGTCAGCTCTACTATACACCTGGGAATTCTGATCATTCACATGAACTTATCGGCCCATTGTCTGCCAACCCTATATATGATCTTGGATACACTCTCCATTTAGACATACCTAATTGTTTAGCTTGTTCACCCATCTATCCGTCCCTATACCCATGTTGCAAAGCCTTTCTTGACTTCATTTTTTATTTTCTTTGCTCTTTCTCTTCTCATTATATGTACTACACTTTGAAAATTATTGCAACTAAACTCTACTTTTGTCATTTAGAAGTCAAGTGTCTTCAGTGAAAACAAGGAACCGTTGAAGGACATGGTGTCCTCTTCTGCTTCTCGTCCAGTCCAGCCTGCCGGTTCTCACGCACAGTGGAACAACGTGCTGCCTGGTCCTCTGCTATCCCATGATCGGCTGCAGGTCAGACTGCAGCGAGTCATTGGCTATTTTCTGTGATGTTACCAGGTCTTTTCTCCGACTGCATTTGGAAGCTCTGCTGAAACCTGTTCTGCATCATATGAACACACAGATCTCCCCTGGGGGACAGGTGTGGCTGCACAGGAGGTACACTGGCCATTGGCATCTTAACCCTTCAATCTATTTTGAGGCAAAAAGTTTTAATTTTTTTTGAAGATCTCAAACGTGGGAATAAGCATCATCAATATGATTTGAAACTGTGTCCTGCCTCAGCAGGAGCCTCCCTTCAGCAACAGATGAGATGACATCTTAGCCCTGAGCCAGCCAACATGGTAGCCACTAGCCACATACATGTTCATACAAAGCAAATTTAGTTACAGTAAAATCAAATTAAAAATATACTTTCCCAGCAGTACTTGTCATACAGTCTGTGGGCAAGAGCCACATGTCGCTGGCATCACCGTACCAGAAAGCACAGGGATGGTACATCCCCAGCGAAGTTCTGTTGGATGGGCCTGTTCAGGACAGACAGGCACACCTCCCAAAATGTCTCAACCACAGAAAGAAAGGTGGCTGCCACCTTCAAAACCCCACTGTGAATAAGCACTGACTGGGAAGGGTTATTTCACAGATTACAACCAATGGGTTATTTCTACATATTTCTGTAAAGTATCTTTCGCCTCAGCAAAACCATCTCAATCACAATTATCTTGATGGGAATATTTCTGCAAACACTTCAAAATCTTGTCATACAGGAGGTACCGGAAAGGTACAGAGAAGTCACCTAACAAGGGGTGAAGGCTTGGGGGCATCACAGTCACTTTCACTGTGAAATTTACCACCTGAGAAGCTACCTCAGAACTCTAGAATCTGAGGGAACTAGCAAACATCACCACTGTACAGACATCCACGTATCTAATAATATAAAGCGAGCTGGCCAATTTCACTAGGAAGAAAGGCATCGTTTCCAAGCTCGGTCTTTCTGCAAAGAACTGATAAGTAAGTGCAGAAAGTAAGGGGGGAGGGACACTGCTTAAAGAAGCCACCCAGATCCTCTTACTTGGCTGCATTTGTGTCCTGGACGCCATCTGATTCATCTGACAACTCAGAGCAATGTGGCAAAGATAATCTACCAAAGGCCGGGTCTGAACCCTCCACCGCAACCTGGCCGCCAGCATGTACGAGGAACTACCGTACACCAGCCCCTTTGTACTCATATTTGAAACCTTTCCTAAGTTTTTGATCGTGTTTCTTGACAATTTCACAATGGGGATGGCATGTGATTGTCATTCCTCTCTGCCTGATATGGAAAGGCTCTCTGCTTCCTGCCTGCATCAAGTTCTGTCCCTTTCTGGGATCTTCAAAACCTCACCAGAGTGGCAGCTCGCTTGTCTCAGATCCCGACATCTATATAAAACTTTGAGTTTCTTCCGTAAAAGTTCACGGTGCCCTTGCTCTCCATTCTGGGCTTGTGGACAGCTATCCTGCATCCACCCCCTAACACCCCTCCAGTGGTTCTCTCTCAAGTCCTCTCCACACCAGGACTGATGTCAACTCCAGGCTCAGAGCTCCTGTAGGAACCCACCAGGACCCATTCCCCATCTGGGGTCCACTGCTTAGGTTCTGACCTTTCAGAACCTACACATTTGCATAATTTCTAATTCTGTACTTATTAATGATTCAAATATATACAAAGGTTTTTTAGAATCCCAGTCCAAGACCTTGTAAAGGGCCCATGATGAGAATAACTGCCATCTCTAAAATAACAATGTTTCTACCCTCTTAGAGATGGTCAGGGTTGATAATGGCATCCAACTAAATGATACACAGAGTTATTGATTGATAATTAAAGATTGTTTGATTAGGAGGTGGTAGTGAAATTCTAGTTGAAGAACCACAAATGTGAATTCTGTCCAGAGTCCATATACATGCAGCCATGTTTATAGGGAGAGGTTAAAGGGGGGGGGGTTAGGTCACCGCATACAGGGGCAGCCCAGGTCTCTTATTTCTTTAGTTTATTTCAATATCTTATTGAATCATTAGGAGCTCTGATGGCATAGTACGTAAGGCATTTGACTGTTAACCAGAAGGCTGGCAGTTCAAACCCACCAGCTGCTCCTTGGAAGGAAGGTTGGGCAATCTACTTCCGTAATGATATTGCCTCAGAAACCCAAGGAGGGGTCACTATGAGTCAGATTCAACTCAACAGCAGTGCATTGCATTTGCGTTATTGAATCATTGGTGGAACTATACCTAGCTAAACAGGTTCCCATTCAGCAATTTCTACACGTACGTTCAGGGGTAATGGTGCTAGCCTTCAGTTGGTGTCACCATTCTCACTATTTCTGTTCTAGCTGCTCCATCCCCATTCATGCAGCTCCCTACCTCTAAGCCCCTCATCTTTACTGCAAAGCGAACCCAAGGAGGGGTCGCTGTGAGTTGGAGCCAACTCGATGGCAGTGAGTTTGGTTTTGGTTTTGGCTGTTTAATTCAAAGGTGACTTCAGAGGAAAATTTCTGCTCAAAGTTCAGAGAGTGTCTCAGGACAACAGTCTCTGGGATTCCTTCAGTCTCAGTGGGCCCAGTAAGTCTGGATATTTTGAGAATTTGAAATTCTGCTCCACATCCTCCTCCCTTTCCACCAGGATCCCTCCACGGTGCCCCCGATCAAACATCTGGTAGTGGTGGCCAGACATCATGCAGTTCTGGTCACAAGGTTGAGGAGGCTGTAGGTCAAGGAGACAGGCCTATGTTCCGGTTCTTTCTCTGAGTCTTGAACTTTCTTCATTGTCTTTTACTCCTGATGAATACAAACCAACAGTTGCATCTTAGATGGCCACTATTTTATGTCCAAGAAAGAATAGGACACTAATGAGCCCACACAACTTAGAATGTCCCACACAACTTTTAAGAGAGCAAGCCCAGCACTGGTTCTAAGCCCAGCAATCGTTCTAAAGGGAACTTGGCAATGGACTGAAATTGCATTAACAAATTCTTGTTCTTTATTTTATCTTTTAATTTTAGGATGTCAGGAGGATTTGTGCTTGGTGATACACCTCTACTATTTTTTTTCCCATAAAGAAGTATCAGGAGAAAAGATAAGAAGAAATCAGGAGAATCTCTCTCTATATATATATACATCTTAAAATATAGATATATGTGTATACATATAATATATATATATATAGAAAGAGGGAGACTTAATTATATATATTAAAAAAAAAAAAAACAACCTCACTGCTACAGAGTCAATTCTGACTCACTGTGACACCTCCTTTGGTTTCTGAAGCAGTACCTCTATGGAAGTAGATTGCCCAGTCTTCCTTCTGGGGAGTGGCTGGTGGGTTTGAACTGCCAGCCTTCTGGTTAGCAGTCAAATACCTTAGGCACTATGCCACCGGAGCTCCCTGAATTATATACGTTTATATACACACACACATATATACATACACATATATGTGTGTACATATATACGTATATATATAAACACTTAATTCACATATATATAAAACACTTGATTATATATACATAAAACTTAGATGCACACGTGACTAATGCTGAGCAGGACGGTGACTACGGAGTGACAGGACACCTAGCTGGTGAGTGGCGCTTTCCTTGTTTCTCTTTAATCCGCAGGTGCATTTTATTTTTAAGATAAAAGAATTGTGATAGGAGGTTGGGACCCATGCTATCATCCCCAGGAAATGGTTAAGAATAGAACACTTGGCTGTGGACGGAATGATTCAGGATCCTAATTAGAAGGAAGCTAATAACATCAGATAATCTCAGGAATCCCGGGTGTATTTCTTAGTTAAAACCTAGCTCATGCTGACAGCGGTAAAAATAGGTAGCGCCTGAGTCAGGCTGCATGTGAAAGAGGAACATATGGTAACACCGGGAACCAGGAGTGCAGATTGCATTTCACCGCGTTTGTTTCCTGGCCCGGGACTGGGTGGCATGACAGGATGTTCAGAGCAGGCCACCACATCTCCAGCAGGCTTCGTGCCTCCATGAACATATGAGATCCTGCTTAAAATAAACAGTGGCCTCATGATCAAAGTCAGAAACCTGAAAAATGCATGATTAATTCTTCATTCTGAACATCAATCTGCCCCGGTCTTCACTGCAGGGATTGAACAGAAACATTATAGAATTATGTTCACAGTAAGAAATTATTTTGAAAAGGTTTCCCTTTATTTTCCACAGAAAAATACTGATTTCTATTTCATGTCAGCCCCCTTGACATGATAAAGTACTTTGGATAGTACAAGAATGCAAGAAGACAATGAAGCAAGGGCCAGGTTCGTTCCTGAGCATACTTAGGGCAGAACCCCTCTGACCTGTGTTACACACAGTCAGTCTCCAGGTAAGGGGAAAGATAAAACTAATCAGGGCCAAATCACAGGGACAGGCAGCAGAGACCAGCCAACTCAGTAGCTGCCCACGGCCCTTATGATGTGCATATAAAAGTTTTTTGATTTTTGAGGAAAAGAAAATTTCTTCCAAAAAATGTCCATCATTAGCCAGAACAGGTTGCCCAGCCACAGATGAATGGGAGACTGCTCATACCTTTCAGCTTTGGCATCCCCATGGCTAAGCACAGACTGATACCCAAATGAATGCACAGTGAGCATGGTCCCCTCTGTCTATCATTTGAATCCCAACATCGTCAGTGACTCTCTAAAGAACGGATGATCTGTCACATTTCTCCTGGCAGAAATACCCATTTCAGTGAGAGCAAAGTACCGAAAAGTTCACACCAAAGGCAGATGTGGACATGGGGGCATAAGTGTCCACGTGTTGTCCAAAGATCAGGAGTGGCAATTGGAAATCTGGAGGCCAGTGGTTGGTTGGGAAGACAAAAGGGAGGTGAGGACAACCAAGTTGGAGTATGTCTTCTTACATTTTTGCCTCGGGAGAGGCAGGAGAAGTTAAGGAAAAGGGCCAAGAGTCTGTCTTTGTGGCTCCTGCTGGGAGCGGCTGAGGAGGCTGAGGTGGTGTCATCTGAAGTTCAATGGCGGAGTTGTGTGGCTGCTGGGAGCCATGAGGCTATTCAGCCACTGCGCTGACCTTGCTCATTACCCTTCCTCTAAGCTCACCTGGCCTAACACACTTCCTGGATGTGCATCAGTGGGGCCACAACTATTTCAGGAAGGGGGAGAGTCACAGAACCCCCCCCCCCCCTTATCCTAGCAACAAGCAGGTGCACAAGAGGCCCATGAGATGGCAGCAGCCAAGTTCACCCAAGTCACCTGCTGTTGACACTGCCATGTTTGAGTTTCCTATGGCTGCCATAACAAAGTACCACACATGTCGTGGCTTGAACAACAGAAGTTTATTCTCTCATAATTCTGGAAACTAGAAGTGTGAGTCAAGATGTCGGCAGGCCTAGGCTCCCTCTTTCCTCGCCTCTTCCAGCTTCTGGTGGTGTCAGCTGTTCTTGGACTTGGGGCTGCATCACTTCCATCTCTTCCTCTGTCTTCTCATGACTTTCACATCTGTGTCTGTGTCTTCACCTCTTCTGTCTCTTGTAAGGACACTTGTCATTGAATTTGGGACCCACTCAGGTATCCAGGATGAGCTCATCTCAAGATCTTCATTATATCTGCAAAGATCTTCTTTTGCAATAAGGTCACGTTCACAGGTTCCTCGGATTAGGGCATAGACAATCTTTTGGGGGGCTCCTATTCAACCTGCTAAATGCCATATTTATAAATCTCCAAACAGCAAAGCAGTTAAGAACTGTAACCAGTGCTGGTGCTACCTTGGTTACAAAATGAGATGGCTCGTCATTCTTAACAATGGACAAAACCATGGGGAGGCATCCAGAGGGTCAGAGGGTACCCCTTGTGCAGAGTGGATGTGTAATCCACCCACTGCTGTCAAGTCGATTCTGAGACCCTATAGTCACCCTAGGAGACAGAGTAGAACTGCCTCATAGAGTTTCCAAGGCTGTAAACCTTTATGGAAACAGACTGCCTCATCTTTCTCCCAAGGACTGGTGGGTTTGAACTGTCGGCCTTTTGGTTAACAGTTGAGTGCTTAATCACTGCACCACCAAAGCAATCTTCATTATTCCCTCCCTGGGACAGCTGAGGGAACAAGGAGCCATGGGAAGTTCGGTGGCTTTTGAACTTCCTGGTTCAGCTTTTGGCTTGCTGGGAGGGCTGGAAACTTAACGAACGCCTCACTCACCAGCACATTGACAGTACAGCTCATGCGGTTTTCTTTGTTCTCGTCATGCATAATAGTTCTGTAATCCAAAAGTCTTTCCATCAGACGCACAACAAGTTTGACAAAAGTTTCTCCCGTCTTGGCGAGGTATTTATGCTTCCTGCAGTGCTCCAAGAGGCTGGGAAAATAATTAGACACACCTTGTTAATCACACTCAGAGAAAGAAACTTGATGGAGGTGCAATTTAAAATATTTTCCATTATTAACACATTTTAATTATTTCTGGGCTACAGAGTTCATGGTCGTCTAATTACAGTCTCTCTGGCTATATTCTGAAATAAATCCCACTGTTAATCAACACTTACATTTTATCAAATAACACTTTGTACTGCTCATCTCCTCTGCCTCCTTCCACTTCATGATCCAGTTTGGTGATGATCTCATTTTCAAACTATAATTAAACAGAGGAAGCATAAATAATCAGCATGGTGGATCGTTCATCTTCAGACTTGAGCGTCAACGGCACATAAACTGGCGAGGGTCCGTCATCAGACCATTACCCATGGCCTCTGAAGCCCGATTTCATCTGAGAGTCACCGTCCCTGAGCCCTGGAGATTTCAGAGGACCCCCATCAGGAAGCTTTCGCTGTCCTTCTCTCATTGTTGAAGCCCCAAAATTCCGAAAGAGGAGCAAGAAGAGCTAATTCTGAAAGAGGAGGAAGAAGCACAGAAAGGAAGACAAGAAAACCAGAGGAAACAAAATCAAGGAGCAACACGGGCAAGCCCCTGAGCTTCATCTCTAAGAACAAGCTGCAACGGAAACAGCTCGGTTGATGCAGCAGATGGCGTTCCATTTGCCAGCAAAGAGTTCTCTGCAACCTGAAAACACCGAAGGGCCACTTCACTGCCACTTCCTGGTGGGCCCTTGGAAAAGATCTCACTCCGGTTCAGAAAACAGTTTTTTTAAAATAAGTGAGACAATGTTGGATTATGTTGCCTAAAAAGACAAGTCCAATTTGATACAGCTGTGAATGGGACCTCATCTGGAAATAGGGTCTTTGCGGATATAAGTAAGCTAAGAATCTCGAGATGAAACCTTTCTGGATGATCTGGGTGGACTCTAAGGGCAATGCAAGTGTCCTTATAAGGGACAGAAGAAGAAAAGACACAGACAAGGCCGCATGAAGACAGAGGCAGAGACTGAGGGATGCAGCCACAACCAAGGGATGCCTAGAGCCACGAGAAGCTGCAGAGGCGAGGAAGGCCCTCCCCTAGAGCCTCCAGGAGCAACATGGCTTTGCCGACCTCCTTATTTTGGACTTCTGGTCTTGTAAGCGAATATATTTCTGTTGTGTGAAGCCACCATGTTTGTGGGACTTTGTAGCAGCAGCCCCAGGAAACCAACACCTCTCTGCAGATTGACAGGCACATCCCTTTAGTAGCTCCCTCTCCCGGCCTCTCACTCCCCAGAGCTTCCCAGTAGAGCCTTGAGCTGCAGGGGGAGGCCTTCAGAACGGACTCAAGGTCTCTCACACCCATGTCTTCCCAAAACTCTACATTCTGAGGAGGTTCAAGTTCCCAGAAGGTTTTCAACAGCCCACTGTTGGCTGGGCTTGAGGTAACTCCCCTGATAATGATGGCAATGTTTCCCCATACTCGCCACCCATCATTGACAGAATCCATGGCTTCCTGGGACCGGGAATCCAGCCACACGAGCACCTCTGCTGCATGCATCCCAAGGTTACCCATCAACCGGTGCCAGGTGTGAGGAGGGCTAGGAGAGGTTAGTGCCCAGGGAGAGGGAGATAGCTGCACTCTGAATGGAAAGAAGGTGGCCAAAGGAGGAGTGAAGAAAGTTAACAGGTGACTCAGGGTTCAGAAAGCAAGCATCCACGGCAGGAACGCAAGGGGCTCTGGGACCCCTTTAAAACGCCTGCTCAAACACCTAGTCTTCTGGGTAACAAACCCCTTGAAGATCCCATAAGAATTCAAGGTGGATGAGAGCAAAGTTTTCTTGTTCCTTGGTCATTGCTGTATCCCCAACTCCTTGAACTGTGCCTGATGTTGATGCTCTAATGGAATGAAGGTGCTGTGTGCACAGAAATTATTTGGAAAGAGTTGGTGTTACATTGGAGGGAGCTGCTAAATTCTCAGCGCAGGAGGGCCAGTGCGTTGTAAAGACACAACCTGTCCCTTGGCCACGCCAAGCCCAGTGGGAAACAGCTCACGCACCATCTCCTGACGCTGACTTGCGGGACGGGGCTGGTGCTGTTGCAAGCACAGCTGATTGCTGGGTCCTTCCCCCTGGGCAGGGGAAGGCAACGGGTCTGGTGTGACCCTGGCATAGACACATGCCTGAAGCCACAACTGAATTCCTGCTACAGATGAAACAAAGGCTTAAGACGAGACTGGAGTGAAGTATTGATTCTTGCTTAACATCAAGGAGTCAGCAACATCACAGCAACCAGACCTTCCCGAATCCCTTCGATCTTCTTCTTGGTCTTCTGCACTGTCTCCTCCCCCAAAATAAATACCCCCTTTGATTCTGTTTGGCTTAAACAGTTCAGAGATTTTAGGAACACAGAAAAAAAGATGGTCTGCTGAAGAAGAAACAACTTGCTTATTTTTCTTTCCACCTGAAGTCTCATGATAATGACTTTTGCTGTGAAATAACCTGGAGATGCTAACCCACTATTACCCTGCTCTTCACAGAAACCAAAAAAAAAAAAAAAAAACCTCACTGCCATCAAGTTGACTCCGACTCATAGCGAACCCCTTTGGGTTCTGAGATGGTAAATCTTTACGGAAGTAAATTGCCCAGTCTTCCTTCTGTGAAGTGGCTGGTGGGTTTCAATCACCAACCTTCCGGTTAGCAGTCAAGTGCCTTAGGCACTGCACCACCAGAGCTCCTTCTTCACAGAAAAGAATTCTGCAAAAGGCAGTGCCTTCTGGATTCCAACAAAAGGGAGGCAGCTTGTGACTCGCCCAAGAACTGGCATTCCAAGGCAGCCCCAATCCAAGATGGCACCATAATGGGAACTCCCAAGATAAGGCCAGCAGTGAATGCTGATGCTTCAGAACAAATAGTCGAGATGCACAAAGAAGACGAAATCCAATTAAAACACATTAGCCAGTTCCGTACATGGTTAATGAGTATCTACAATGTGCCCCTTCCTCTCATGTGCAAACACACATAAGCACTGAGATCACTCATCACTAGTCAGTTGGGGGCATTGGGGTTTGGAGTCTGTTTTATGAGAACAGCATATTTCCAGTGCTTCCTGGTAAACCTAGCTGTCACAAACCCAGCCAAGACGAATGCCCCATCTCCTTCAGCAAGCTGCTTAGCAAATTTTGACTGATGGGTTTAATGTTTTCCAAAAGGGTGGATGAGTGATTAGTAAATCAGAGGAACACAGCTGATTCTAATTTTACTAACTTCTAGTCTAAACTAAGTAATTTGCAAACACCTGGCAACCTCGTTCTGTTTATCAGCAAGGATTCAATGCCAGAGATCCATAGATAGCTGCTAATTCGAGGGCCTCTGTTCATTTATTTTACAGAATACACAAGAATCAATTGGTTAGTGTGCTGTGAACTGTTATCATAATCAGAATGAAATGACCCTGTCCAGATAAATTAGAGAAAGTACTTTTGCTGAGAGAGCAGGTTTCATAAAAACTGTGTTTAGTATCTATCATGTAAGCACAGGCAGTCTGCAGTTTGCAACAGGGTTTTCTATCCTTGGGATAAATTAGCAAGGCTCTACTGTGTTGCTCAAACCGTGGCAGAGGCTCACAGGGAAGGGAGCAGCATCATCACACAGTCATGCTTCACTTAATGTCCCTGGTATGTTCTGGGAAATCAGACATTATATGATTTGGACGTTGTGCGAACACCATCATAGGCTGGACCTGCTTTTTCTTTAAGGATCCTGAACTAGCTTTGTGCCTCAGCAGTGACTGCCAACATGGTGAGAGGGATTCACCCTTACGTTTGGTCCACATGCGTGACAGCTTCTCCCCATCTGATCTAGGGCCCCTCACGCTGCCATCAGCCTCGTAGCTTTCAGTGGAGCTGTTCCCTCACCAGCCTGGATATGGTTTTGTTTTTGGGGAACGTTGTGATGGTGGAGGGCAACATGTCTACATTGTCAACAACAGTTGCCACCTTCTTGTTGTCTAATAACCTTGTTCCACATTGACCTTTCTTTGCTGCTCCCATCCCAAGCACTGCTTTGGCTACATTTGGGAGCTGTGATACCCTTCACGGTAGCATTTTAGAAAGAAAATTAAACAGAGAGAGAGAACTTTACGACACTCAAGAGGTGCACAGTACGTGAGATTGGATGCTGCTGCCTACAAGTTGAAGCCTATACCGTCACACAGTAAACTTTTTACATCGACAGTGAGGTGCATACATACAGACATAAGGCAGTAATACAGGTGTTTAGGATGGCTATCAGGACAGTATGTTACAGGTTATATATGTGCTGTTCCATTACATGCCGGGCAGCACCATCCCTATGTACATAAGAGACATGAGATACATGTGTTTCGTGCAGGTTAAGCTGTTGCGTTAGTTATATCCTGTTCTCTGATGGGGATTTCTGAACTCTGTTATAAACTTAGGGGACCACTGATGCAGACGTGGTTAGACATTGCCCGAATGGACGTTAAGCAGTGCAGGCCTGTATTTTCTGCTCTTTTCTGAATCACCAATATTGCTACAAAAATATCCACAGAGTCCAACTTTAAATATACAACAGAGTGTCTCTAAGCATCTGATACTAACAGCCCCCCCAAGAGACTGCAACACAACAGGACAACAACGCCCCCTGGAAGGCTGCTGTCACAGTGACCCCAGTGCAGTGGGGGCTGTTTCCAAGGGCGGACTGACTTTGTTATCAACTCGATTAGAAAGGAAGGAACCCCTGCTTTCACCACAGTTAACCCTGAGCTATGGGTTCTGATTTAAGAGGCCACAGAGCGAAAGTCTCTGGGAGTGGATAATCCAAAAGCCAATCACAGTTGCCTGGAGACGCACACATTTATTTTGGGTTAGATTCATCCCTCATGCTGTAAGGCATTTTTAAGTGTAAACCCCACAAGAGCGTTCTGCAGGAACACCAGATCTGGGCTTATGGTGACGCGCGGTGGACGTGGAATCAGGATCGAAGGGTTTGCACGAACAATTCACCAAGGCGATACAGGGCTAATGAGTGGATGAAATCTGAACTCCACCAATAAGGCCTTTTAAGGATGGGAGCAGCAGGGGGTCTTGACCTTTACAAACAAGTTTCAGTAAAATGTTGCTCTTCACCCCCCAGAGCTCCACAGTCTCCTGTTTTCCACGAAAAGTCCTCGCAAGGTTCCAAGCTGCCTCTGGTTTCAAACTGCCTCCTGGAGTCTCAGTGCTCCAAGGACGGCGCCACCGCTTGCCTTCAGCACT